CAAATTCAACAAAAATACGAGACATGTTCCATATTATTAGTTGGCCTTAGCCCCTTAGCGAAGTATTGTATATGGGTGAAGAGATCGTGGTGCAACCCAATAATGTTAAATCAACTTAATTTCACGACAGATTAACTCCCGTTAATGAGGTAAAACAGTTTGTTGTTGCTGCTTCGCCGGGATCCAGCCCGAAAAACTTTCTTATAGTATTGATATTAACCAAAGAAGTAGCTGATACAATAGGTTAATATCGAATTCGCTTGCGTTTAAGTAAATTCACTATATTGTTTAGGTCAAGAGTATCGCAAAGGTTTTTTTTGCTTTTTACAGCCCGTATTTACATCAAATTATGAAAGAAATCTATTTTTAACACATTTCCTAATAACACAAATTGAAAAAATTAACTGAGCAGATATTGGGCGGGGGGGGAGGCATCCTCCCCTTGGCTAGGGCTCTTGTTGGCCCAGTTTCATGACTTGTTGAATTTCGCTATTCAGAAATAAACCTTCTCTAACAATTTTAACGAATTTTCATTTTATAAACTGGAAGTTTATTGTTAATTCACCATCAACATAAGGTCGTCAGTCCTAACACTGGTTGGACACGCACCTCCACTCTTTCTTATCCTGCGCTAATCTTCGCATTTTCCTAAAGCTAGAGCAACCCAATTCCTTAACTATTTGCGAACAGTAATCTAATCTAGGTCTACTTCTACCCCTCCCAACTCCCGTTTCTGCGTCTAATATGTCTCTGACTAGACCTTCATGTCTGAGAAGGTGTCCTACTAACCCATCTCGCCTATTTCTTATTGAGTTCCATGGAGTCCTCTGTTCTCCTACTCTTACTAATACCTCATCATTTCTAACCTTCTCTATCCACGGTATCTTCATCATCCGCCTATAACCACATTTCGAACGCTTCTAACCTTTTCTATTCCGCCGCGCCCACTGTCCATGTTAAACAAATACAATCAATAATGTTTTTGTGTATTTCCTTTGCTTATCGCCTGCAAGAACAGCACCAGAATTCTCGGTTACAAAATATATGGTACAGGTTTACCCCAAACGATTATCATTACAGAACTTATTCTATTTGTCATTTTAGTTGGTTTTCGTAGAATATCACTTTGGTTTTACTTACGTTAAATTTAAATAATACGAATTAATAAAAAAATATCAGTGGTTTCATTATTTTTGCTTTTACGTGTAAGATTACCAAAGAATTAATGAAACGAAATGATTGGGCCTACTGATTTAGAACGGGGCTTGTATTGTACACCCCACATCAGTTATTTAATAACCATAACCATATAGCTAAGTGTTTATAACTTATAAATAATTTAAAAGTTAAGCACAAGTTTGTGTTTAAATGTTTTAGTTTTCTTCTCTACCACGGAAAAAAATACATATTTTTGTTTGAAATTTTGGGCTTGTAATAGAAATTTCCATTCGCAACCCAGCCTGTCCTAGTCCAATCCCAACTTAGCTCGAGGTAATTTTAAGAAAGAACATTACTACTACACACATTTCGTTCGTATTGTCTTTATCTATCGAGCTTTCTCTGTAATTCTAAAATCTGCCGCCCCTAGTTCGCGGCCCATCCTATTGACAAATCCAAGCTGCAGTTGGCCATTCCATCGAAGTAGGGTTGCCATCCGTCCGGGATTCCCCGGATTTGTCCTAGTTTGAAGGGCGTCCGGGGTCCGTCCGGCAGGGGTTTTTAAAAAGTGTCCAGACACTTAAGTACTTTTAATTTACAATCAACAAATATTATAGGGATTTGGCTACCTAAATAGATGACTGAAAATATCATTGGCGTAGTTTATTTTAAATTATAAAGTATTATAGTTAGTTATTTATNTAGTTAGCTATTAGTAGTATCATATAATAATTTGATTAATGCTAAAAAAAGAGCGTTCCTAATTATTTTTGTTACCATACTACCTCAGAAATATTATATTAAAAATGTCTATTAATTATTGCTGTTACATACGTACTCAATTAGATTTTAATTACAAGCTGCATCACAATTAATAAAAATTAAAAAATTATAACGATGTTTTTATTTTGTTACAAAAAATATTTTTTCAGAGTTGTCCGGGGACAAAAAACCTATTTCGCCCAAATGTCCGGGATTTTTGCCGTGTTAATCCAGAGCCGGCAATTTAGGTAATGGCAGCCCTACATCGTACAAACTATGTTGTTGTGCAGATGTTTTTGCACTATTATCTAAATTTCCAAAGATGCCCATAAAAGTAAACTAATTCTGTAATGGAGTTCTGGTGCCCAATTTGAGAAGGAACAAAGAAGCAGGATATTATTTAAGACCAGACAAACAATGTAATGTAGTTTACGCCCTTTCGTGACTAGACATAATTTTACCGCCGTGATTTTACTGGCGTCGAGTCGTGTCAGTAACGTCGCGTCCTGTCGCAGTCAGCCACAAAAATTCACCAACAGGGATCAAGAAGCGGCTTCCGGTACAGTAGCGCGTTCGTTTTTGTTTAGGCTTGACAACTTTTCTCAAAATTGCCTCTTGTTAGCCGATGACGATAAACAGTATGTATATATACAGTTAGGTACCTAATGAACTAGCTTTCATCTTATAGAATATATACTCACAAATATTATAAAATGCTCGGGGGAGTGAGTAAAATCATTGTAACCAGGTAGTAAATTGTAGAAACCTTTGTATAGTTGGGATGATCAAAATTGGCAAAGTCCGTAATAAATTATGTGTAAGAATAGATGTACAGGTCTGACGAAGGAAGCTGGCGAGCGGTCGTGCAGGTACTTGCCCATTACCCTATTTGGGTAAGTCACTTGGAACCGATACACAAATAAGCTTTCGGTAGGCGTAAATTATAGTATCAATACAGATAGGACAGTAGCGTACTAGAAAATAATGTAAAAACATGACTTATCAAAAAGAAAAAATTAACCTATTCTTTTGTTTTATAGTTAGTTTTCACATTCACTCTCATCATGGGAATCTCTATCACTGTCACCAACACCAACAATTAGTTAATCTTCTGTTTGTCTGTCTATTACTTGCTCACTGATCCCTATTTTTCAAAATTTAATCTACGCCCCTGATAGGAATACATAAGAATGAGGGCTGCAATCTTTATACTTAAAACTGCCTACTTTTGCCACCGCGCATCCACGCCATTTTAAAATTTTTGCCTGCTTCCAGCGTCAGGCCTGTATCTTCTTTCTTATTTCCTTTTAGTACAGACGAAGTAAAGATAACCGAATAGTAGGAAGCGGTGCAACAATTGGAGATTACTTAGGTACGCAAAAGTCATGATCGGCTTTATATTTACCTAGTTGGAATTATATCTTCAAGGTCACATCTCTAACTACTTGAAATAAACTGTAAGCGTTTTTGATTTCCTAAATTCCTGAGAATGTTATCTTTCGATGGGCAACATGTTCAAATTCTGCTTGTCTGCATCTCTTTCTGTTACACAACAGTTGGTGTAGTGTTATTCCTTTCTCTTTATTAGTACGCGCTGCAATTCCTACCTGACGTCTCTTTTCTAAGTTTACGATACTCCCTATAACTAAGGAACTAAGCCAATTTTGAACGTCCCAACTATGTAAAACTTATATTTTCTGTAAAATAACTGAGTTCTTAATTGACGCTGTGAATAGAAAAAATAAAGATCGTACAACGCATTGGGAAGTTTGCGATCATTTTGTTGGGTTTAAAACATTAAATAGTCTGTTCTTTCTTCCAACGATTTCTGGATTTGAAAAGAGACCAGCACCGTTTAGATTAATCAGAAATCTCTTTTCCTTATTCCTATTCCGACTAGCTAGTACTTAAGACCATTTAATTGTTTCATTATAGGTACATAAAATTTGAGTTTAATAGAAACATTTATGATAAGAGCTAGAAATGAATTTTTACTGCAGAGCAATTCAAATTCAGGTTTTGAGGACAATATATATGTGTATACAGTTAATTCGTTGGTGAGGTTGTGGTCAAGATATATATTAATGAAATATAAAAAGTAATGTCGGTTAATTTGTTCCGACAATATGAGCATGAAGAAAATTAAAAAGTTATCGAAGAATATAATAAGAAACTTTCTAACAATTTAGAAATTGAACTGAAACAAAACGAACACCTCCAAAATTGCTTTTACAATGAAAAAGTATTTTTAAATTTAATAAATAANTTAAATTTAATAAATAAAAATATAGAAAGCATTTCCTTGCCTGAATCTTATCTATCTATACAGAAATATATGATAAATAAAGTTTTTTAAAAAGTATTTCACCGAACCGAGTTCTTAATTGTATGTGTAAAAGCTACTGCATATAGCTACTGTAGATACCTACCCAATTCACAAAATCTGAAGATTGGATTCCTGGAAATGCCTCACTTCTCGGGAACTCTATTTTTAATGGGCAATTAAGTTTTTGTGTGACTAAAGTCATTAACAAATCGAGACAATATCAGGTTTAACACGCCATATGTAATGTTTTCCTTGAAATGAATATAAATTTTTAAGTTTTGTAGACTTTTGTAAATATAAACAATTTAAGACGTGTGTACTTAATGTAGGTACTAAAAGTAATTAATTAATCAATGTAATGAGCAAAATATCGTCTGCCCAAATTTAAAAATTACGAACCGTTTCCTTCAGTTATGTAAAAACCCATTTTCACCAAAATACAAATCACCTTATGACACCCTGTACGCTTTTATTTCATACAAATTAAAATTGACTCGAACCGCTGTGAAATTTTGGGGATCAAAATTTGAAAATTGATTAAAAAGGAACGGAAATTGTATATCATTTTCTTTGATTACGCGTTTGGTTCTAGGCGTGTTCAATATTAAAATAACAAAATCTGGTAAAACAAATATTTATTAGACACTGTTAGAGTTGAAAAAGAGTAAAGTAAACGAAGGTTGATTTAGAACTTAGAATTTGAATAATTTAGGAAAATTATGAAGGTGGAGCTAAAAGAAGGGATCAACTGGGTTCACTGGATCAAAAGTACTCCCTGGAAATTCGCGATGTTATTGTAAAACCGCGTAGTGAGAGAACTTTTAAACAGTAAGTGCAAAACACTAAACGATTGCTCGAAAATGAACCATTACCATTACCTTATTTTTAATTTTACTTGCTTTAGAAGAACAAGAGTCAATTTTTTCTTTAGCAGAAATAAAAACTTATACTTTCGCTTAGCGACAGACCTCTAGTTTCTAGTTTTTCGATACATTTTGAAAGAAAAACAAAATTACTTTCGATATACGTTAATTCATATTTTTCATGAGGATTATTTAAAGTAGTTTTACATTTGTTAATAGCCGTACTGTCCGAAGAATTAATTCTTCAATGACAATTATTTTATCAAAATTTTTAATATTAAAAAAGGCACAGTTTAGCCAAGTTCCCCACCTCGTTAAAACAGGTTCAGGAGGTAAATGGGTATCTGGTAGCCTTTCCCTATAATGTTGTACTCTCAGGGAAGCTTTAATAAATACTTTTTTTACGTTTGAAATCAATTTATTTACCACCGGATATTCCAAACTAACAGCTTTTGCTACTAGGTTTAAACCATGTGCCAAACATTTCCAATGAATTAAATTGGGGTAAAATACTTTACAAAATAACAACAAATGATGAAAAATATTAGAGACAACAACCGTATTATTAGTCGCTATGTATTTGGTTTTTCCCCAACAACAAGTTTGTATCAGGTACGAAACGAAAATGTCATTAAAAAGCAATTAGTGCAATGGTAAGTAACAGACTTAAATAATAGATTTGGGTAGCGTTTGTGCAGATAATATATAGAATTATACCAAAATATGCATTTATTTTAAATGCATATGCATTATTCAAAAATCTTGGAAATATGATTGATATATGTTATATGCATTTTGCATATAATCCGAACTCCAATAATAATATTTAATCGCCGTTATTAATTTGAGTGCCGACTGATTAGAGCTTTTAAATGTTTGTAAATAAAACTGCTCATCAGTGACGATGCGCTTTTTATAGACGATGATCTTCATTTATCATTGTCATCTTTCAGATATTGATGTCCCCCTTCACAATTACCTAGGTTTATTGTTTTTGTGTCACATTAAAGCAAGAGAATAGTATTACATTTTACTTTTGAATGATACTGTATACTGCCGCGGTAAACTATTACACATTATTACAATCCTTACTAAAGCTTTAACATGAGATTACCTTAAAATTGTGGTTCCCCATATTATCAAATAACTGGATTTTAAATATACATATATGCCTATTTCTACTGTAGCTAACAAGGAAAATACTAATCAACTTACCAATTAGTTGCCTTCAGCCTTTTTTTCTGCAAAATTCCATTTTAAATCACCACACAAACGTAAGAAGCCACTATCGCGTTAAACAAACACAAAGTCTAACACGAAACTGTTCTTTCCAAAGAATTTAATAATGATATACAATAGACGATAAAACAGGCACTAGTACAAGTCAAAGAGATAATCTGATATACTTTCTCTTTTACTGTCTTTGTGAGGACATCAACGAATGCCATACACATTTACATATACGTCCATCCTTATCGCCAGCTTATTGTGTTGTTTTGCTCGACCGGTTTTTTTTTTCTTTTGAAGAACAGAAATATATAAATATGTTTTGTTGTTTAATAGTTAGTACTTAGTTAAATAAAAAAAAGTCGATGTTAAAAACAATAGCAAAAGAAAATTCTATTGAGTATAAAACAGCCTGTAGTATTTTAGAGTTTCAATTGGATAAAAAATGAAATTACTAATATTTTAAATGATGTGTTGCAGGTCATTTGTTTTATATTTTAATGTTTGCATGTTTTCACAAATTTGTTTACAAGAAATTACACTAAACCTTAGTTTCATTCGAGTTTAAGAAGTCCTGAAGCCACAATGAGTGTGTGGTTTGTAAAAGAATGTCTGAGAATTTATTTAATAATAATAGACGTGTATATATTCCGGATTATTAATTTTATAAATTAATTATAATCACACAAATGTACGGATATATTTATATACCTACTTACCCGGACTTAGGTATATCAATTGTAATAATACATATCTTTTTTTAACATTTCTTATTGTCCATACATTCATGTTACNGACGGGTTGATTTTTAGAATTAACAGCAACCCCAGACACCTGCCCTAGTTTTAACTGGGAGTCAGGCCAATTTTTAACAGCCTTCGGGGTGTCTTTCTTATAAGACTTTTCCATTTCATAACGTTTTTTTAAATTTCCCTGAAAAATTAAATTTCCTTACATTGGCACGCATTCTACCGACTTTTATGGAATTTTAAAATACATAATGGTCCTGTTATAATTCATTTTATTCCAAATAATTCCAAATAATAAATAATATCATTAATGGTATACCTATAAAATTGTCATTTAATCAGATTGTATATATTTCTATTCTACATTTTGACACATATCAGGCAATATTTATTGTTAAGTTAGTTTTAAGTACTTTTAATTGTTTACTTAAAGTAATGTCGCAAAAATTTGGTACTCACAGATAAGTAGATTATCCCTAAAGGATGCGAAATTTGAATAAAATAAAAATAAAAAAACTTGTGTACACAGTTTTTAAAAACTGGAACAAAAAGATTCTATTGTGGTCAATTTTTAATCCCTAATTTCCTTTTATAGTAAGAATAATTATAATTTCATCTCTATATATACTGACCTCTTCCGGTGCCCAATGATCTATAACGGCTTCGCTCTTGGGATCGATGGTCAAGCCTCTTACAGGTAAGAAAGGCGATGTAGGCCCATTTACTGCATAAACTATTTCACCTGAAACGAATTTTTAAATGTGGACATTCGTTTAAATCCAAAGAAAAAACTTAACTCTATACAACTTTAATGACACAATGGGTTCGATCTTTTAAATTAAATCTTGTCAAAGCTGTTGGTCGATGATGGTTGTTGTTGGATAATGAAAATGCATTCAATCCGTTAGTACCCAGCAAACAGGTGATTTTATTGAGCAAAAATGACGAAAAATTAAGTCTTTAAGACAATAATTATGGAAAAAGATTTTTTTTCTGCTTTTCTTGTTTTGTTTTCCTTTTCCATTTCTCCATCTTCTTGTTCCAGTAAAAGAATAATTACTACTGAATTAGTAAGAAAATATTTTTAAACATGGTGACGAAAACGAGTTCTCCATCCAAAAGATTGCCGAAAAACTGAGAGTCGTTGTTATATAATGAAAATACAACATAAAATTGACGGACAGCTGCTGGACGTCAACTTACGGATAGTGAGAATGAAGCTTTAGCCGATAAAGACGTTTGATCACCATTTTTCTTAATTTTTGATCTAAAAAGCTTATATTTCAAAATCTACAGGTTTTACGAGTAATATTGGACAGTCAGTTTCAACGGTTTCAGCCAAGAATTAAAATTTCATTGGTTTAATTTTTAAAATACTTTTTAACAGGACTTAATGTGGTTTGGAACGTTGGTGAGGGTGGTATTTCATGGAAACCCCCCGCGAACGAAGACATTAGCCTTTAACCGAAGAGCTTTTTGGGTACTCGCCATTAGCTGACACCCTGTTACTTGGTACCCGGAAAAATCACAATGCACAATCCGGTGCATCTCTAACTAAAGGCTTTTCGTAACTGTTTTTCATTTTGTTGCATGATGCATAATATACTGTATTTCGAGTTGAAATGACAAAAAATAAAAGTAGTTTTGCTTTAGTACACTTTGCTATTTACTGTTTATTGTATTCATGGGATTTCCCCCTAATTTACAAATAAATAAATGATTTAAAAGGGAAGGAGATACCCTCTTATTTCTCGTTCATATAAAAATATCTTTCAAACATAAAAATCATGGTAAATGATGCAATGTGCAAGATATAACGGCCGATGGTCAACTCGGATTCTCTGGCCGACAGACATCGCAGCTGGCTGGCAGAAGTTAACAGACGTTTCTTTACACCTTCGCGTTCCACCAACAACAACAACATCGGCAACAATAATAATAATAATAATAATAATAAGAAGAAGAGATATTCTGAATCCAAAAGCACGATCTCATATATACTTATAAAAAGAACTGTTTGGTCATTACCTTATACTAATGCAAGAGGACCACACACGTCGCAGGCGGCTAGAAAGTACGGATATAAAACCAGACGACTGTGACGAAGAAGGCTATGGACTAGCGATAAATGGCCTTCACCAAGTCCAGATTTAAATTCAATCGCGCTCTCGAGGATATCGATTTTTAAGAAGAAACGTACGGATAATACCGTCGATAACAACGAATGGGCATAAACGGTCTTTTCATGTTTTGTCGGAATTGTATTGGCTTCCTTTGTGGAATATAAAACACGCAAGTGGGTGTTAGTCAAAGACAAACCATTAGCGATGACCTACGCAATTCCAAATGTGTCGATAAGCTGAACTTGGTTTTACGTCAAACCCACTCGCATGTCTGTTACTAACGCCTCGAATTATTGGAAAATCGAAGTAATGATTAAATATAATATATGGAAATGTGGGAGAAAATGGAAAGAACAAAAAGTCAACAGATGTACTTTTGCTCAACCCGAAAGAGCTGTCAAGAAAAGTATAGAAGTTTAATTCTGTCTTCAAAACCTTAAAATACAACCAAGAATTTACACAATTTTTTTTGGAATTTCGACTTGTAACTTATAATTTTGACTTGCACGTAGAAACTTCGAATTTTAACTCAAAATTTCAACGTAATGTGTTGAGTGTTTTGACTTGTGATTTGCTATTCAATTGCATTAGGTTTGGTTAGGATTGGGTTGGATTAGGCTTAGTTCAACCCAGTGAACAAGAGAAAGTGCACGGCTTAGCCTACTGTAACCTTATCCTAGCCAAATAGAATCATAAGATATGCTAGATAAAGTCATGTCTTTGTCTAAAATTGCCTTAGGTTAGGTTAGGTTTGGGTCAGGTTATTGTTGCGATTCAATGATAATTTGGAGTTACAAGTTGAAATTTCGAGTTACGATTTGAAATTTCGATGAACAAATTGAAATATCACAGGAAAATCATGTTTGAGCTTTCTATGTATATCTATACCTTGTGTTAGAATTTTTCGATCTATAAGGAAGTAACATTTGTTTGTTTATTTGTAAGTACAGGATAATTTCTGGAACTGATTCTTTTAATTTTGATAAAAAAAAGTTCTCAGTTAAAATCTCAATAGGTAATTGCAAATCAAATCGAGATAGATATTCAGTTTACACAATCCCTAAAGTTGGTTTCACAGAGCTACTAACTTTTTTCTTTTTTGACAGATATGCTTAATATCATAATAGTAGGAAAAGACAACATAATCGAAGTTAATCGATTGAAAATTAACCAATGAGTCAAACCATATTGATTGGTCAACTTTGGCGGATATATCAGCCATGGTATCGAAACTCAAGGATACCCTTTGTATTTATTTTATTAATAATCTCAGGGCAAATTTGCATTAAAGTGGTTTTTCTTCTTTACGAAGTTTCAATGAAACTTGCCTATTTGCACTGCTCGGAGAGGGGGTACCTCCAAGCTTCTTCGAGGTTTTTGAATTTATAAAACATTCGTATTTAATTATTTCAGGTTTTTCAAGACGTAGGATAAATATAAATAGACGGGTTTTTGTCAAATTCGGCGTGTTAACTAGAAACTTTTAAAAGTCTTTTCTTAAAAAAAGTTACAGAAATACTTTAAACATTACTGTAATTTACGAATGTAATTTGTTTTCAATTCGATTCAATCCTCATTTTTTTGTAAATAACAATCTTTTGTTGATCCACTCTTATTATCACAATGTTCATACTACATTATATCGTCCATTATTTCACATTAATTTGTCTTTAAGGTTATTAAATTCTCTCTTCTTGTGTAGTCTCATCTTACGATGAGAAGATATTTTACCTTTTAGTGTGCATAATTTTTTAATGAACCAATTAGTAATTATCGTACAAAAAGCGAAACAGAAAATTACGCCCTTCATTTGCCCAATCAGTGTCACGAGAAGATAATAAATTAATTATTATAAAACATGTTTATTACCAACGTTTCGGAGAAATGGTCTGTAATTTGCTTGTTCCATAATATAGACATGTGACCAATTGGTTTTCTGGCAGTACAAAATTTTGTAAACTGCAGTAAAAATTATGATTTCAGTAATGTTCTTTTTTTTGTAATAATTCTAATAATACATATATGTTATGAACATAATAATAACGCACGTATGAAGGTGCAAATCCTGTTGCAACTTTGAATGGTACCTACTTAAAATTTTTAACATTTTGCCAGTGAATCAAAAATAAAATGAAATAAAAATTCTACAAACATTTTTATTTGCGATGATTGTAAATATTTCTTTGTAAATGTGAAAAATTTAAAAAATAACTTAATTTTTAAATAAGCAAACTAACTAAAAATTCGCTCTAATAGTTTTCCTGTCATTTTCTACGTACAATAAGTTAGAAAAACATATTTATTATATGATTTAATTATAGTCCGTCAAGGTGACTGAAGATGGCCACCCGTCTCACCACCCTGTTTCACTTGCGGTTAGTGGTTAATTGTTACCTTTGTTTATGGAGTACTGATTTGCAAGAACTTAAACTTCTTTACTCAAAAATTTAGCGAAAATTCATACATTCTTAACGTTTTAATCATGTACACGTGTACCATGCGTCCAATCATCCCGAAATCTTTTAATAAAAGTAAATTTCCGGGACCTTTAATTTTATAAATATATAACCAACTACATGTACCTGCGACCTACGCAAACACTACTTCCGAATTGCTATAATTAAGTGTATAGATACTGCTGCAGTTTACATAGGGCTATCATGAAAGTACCACAATGTGCAAACTGCTTCGTTGTTACTTCGGTTGTTCAACGCAAATATAAATAAATATACAACATTAGAAACGTATAATAATATCAACCATTATTTACTTACTGTTACTTATATTTGGCTACCAAAATAGTTGAAAAACAAGTCTCACTTACCCCTTGAAGCAACTCCAAAAACTCTGCCCATATCAGGTTGCTGAATTGTCAAAGCCTGCTTGTCACTATCTCTGATGTTATACAATCCCGCCCGGGGGCAAACAACCCTCATGTTCTCCCTGTCAGCCACACAAATAAGGTCTAGAGACTCGATCAAAGCCAATGCATGTGGGACAACCAGCGACAGAAACTCTGGAAGTTGTTTATTTCGTCATCAAAATGCTGAACATTTTTGATTACAGTGAAAATCGCTTGTAATAACTCCGCATAGATGTAGTAACTCCATGACATAACTGTTTTTATAGATACGAACACTGAACACTTACAATAATGACTCTAATAATGAAAACGTCTTGTATAGAAACGGTTAGAAATAACCAAAGGTAGGAGAACAATGAGCCCAGTGTCAAGTGTCAAGTCAATAATGAAAAAGGGAGACAGGATGATGTAGCACCTTCTGAAACATTATGATAGGGAAATTGCAAATGCTTCAAGTTGAAAATTCTTCAATTTTATTTATTCCACCGCAAGTAATAATTTATCGTTTTGTGTTGCGCATTTGGTCTTCGGCCTATTCGGTCTTGGTCTTGTTCTTGTTCGTTTGGTCTTAGTCTTGGTAATGCTGGTATAAAGGTGACCTTGACCTTGCGAAAATGCAAGAACAAGACCACTTTTGCTTATCACTTACAACCTAGATATTTCTGCAATGTATTTTTCCAAATTTTAAGCTTTATTGGTTTTTCCGTTTAGTGTGACTGGACCTAATTTCCTTTCGACGTTATTACAAGCAAAACCTCACTGTAATTGTATTGTATAAATCCGAAANTTTGTTTGTTTATTTGTAAGTACAGGATAATTTCTGGAACTGATTCTTTTAATTTTGATAAAAAAAAGTTCTCAGTTAAAATCTCAATAGGTAATTGCAAATCAAATCGAGATAGATATTCAGTTTACACAATCCCTAAAGTTGGTTTCACAGAGCTACTAACTTTTTTCTTTTTTGACAGATATGCTTAATATCATAATAGTAGGAAAAGACAACATAATCGAAGTTAATCGATTGAAAATTAACCAATGAGTCAAACCATATTGATTGGTCAACTTTGGCGGATATATCAGCCATGGTATCGAAACTCAAGGATACCCTTTGTATTTATTTTATTAATAATCTCAGGGCAAATTTGCATTAAAGTGGTTTTTCTTCTTTACGAAGTTTCAATGAAACTTGCCTATTTGCACTGCTCGGAGAGGGGGTACCTCCAAGCTTCTTCGAGGTTTTTGAATTTATAAAACATTCGTATTTAATTATTTCAGGTTTTTCAAGACGTAGGATAAATATAAATAGACGGGTTTTTGTCAAATTCGGCGTGTTAACTAGAAACTTTTAAAAGTCTTTTCTTAAAAAAAGTTACAGAAATACTTTAAACATTACTGTAATTTACGAATGTAATTTGTTTTCAATTCGATTCAATCCTCATTTTTTTGTAAATAACAATCTTTTGTTGATCCACTCTTATTATCACAATGTTCATACTACATTATATCGTCCATTATTTCACATTAATTTGTCTTTAAGGTTATTAAATTCTCTCTTCTTGTGTAGTCTCATCTTACGATGAGAAGATATTTTACCTTTTAGTGTGCATAATTTTTTAATGAACCAATTAGTAATTATCGTACAAAAAGCGAAACAGAAAATTACGCCCTTCATTTGCCCAATCAGTGTCACGAGAAGATAATAAATTAATTATTATAAAACATGTTTATTACCAACGTTTCGGAGAAATGGTCTGTAATTTGCTTGTTCCATAATATAGACATGTGACCAATTGGTTTTCTGGCAGTACAAAATTTTGTAAACTGCAGTAAAAATTATGATTTCAGTAATGTTCTTTTTTTTGTAATAATTCTAATAATACATATATGTTATGAACATAATAATAACGCACGTATGAAGGTGCAAATCCTGTTGCAACTTTGAATGGTACCTACTTAAAATTTTTAACATTTTGCCAGTGAATCAAAAATAAAATGAAATAAAAATTCTACAAACATTTTTATTTGCGATGATTGTAAATATTTCTTTGTAAATGTGAAAAATTTAAAAAATAACTTAATTTTTAAATAAGCAAACTAACTAAAAATTCGCTCTAATAGTTTTCCTGTCATTTTCTACGTACAATAAGTTAGAAAAACATATTTATTATATGATTTAATTATAGTCCGTCAAGGTGACTGAAGATGGCCACCCGTCTCACCACCCTGTTTCACTTGCGGTTAGTGGTTAATTGTTACCTTTGTTTATGGAGTACTGATTTGCAAGAACTTAAACTTCTTTACTCAAAAATTTAGCGAAAATTCATACATTCTTATGTCGAACGTTTTAATCATGTACACGTGTACCATGCGTCCAATCATCCCGAAATCTTTTAATAAAAGTAAATTTCCGGGACCTTTAATTTTATAAATATATAACCAACTACATGTACCTGCGACCTACGCAAACACTACTTCCGAATTGCTATAATTAAGTGTATAGATACTGCTGCAGTTTACATAGGGCTATCATGAAAGTACCACAATGTGCAAACTGCTTCGTTGTTACTTCGGTTGTTCAACGCAAATATAAATAAATATACAACATTAGAAACGTATAATAATATCAACCATTATTTACTTACTGTTACTTATATTTGGCTACCAAAATAGTTGAAAAACAAGTCTCACTTACCCCTTGAAGCAACTCCAAAAACTCTGCCCATATCAGGTTGCTGAATTGTCAAAGCCTGCTTGTCACTATCTCTGATGTTATACAATCCCGCCCGGGGGCAAACAACCCTCATGTTCTCCCTGTCAGCCACACAAATAAGGTCTAGAGACTCGATCAAAGCCAATGCATGTGGGACAACCAGCGACAGAAACTCTGGAAGTTGTTTATTTCGTCATCAAAATGCTGAACATTTTTGATTACAGTGAAAATCGCTTGTAATAACTCCGCATAGATGTAGTAACTCCATGACATAACTGTTTTTATAGATACGAACACTGAACACTTACAATAATGACTCTAATAATGAAAACGTCTTGTATAGAAATGTTTGCGAAAATGCAAGTCACTTGACCACTTTTGCTTATCACTTACAACCTAGATATTTCTGCAATGTATTTTTCCAAATTTTAAGCTTTATTGGTTTTTCCGTTTAGTGTGACTGGACCTAATTTCCTTTCGACGTTATTACAAGCAAAACCTCACTGTAATTGTATTGTATAAATCCGAAAGATTTAAAGTAAAGTAAATGTAAAAGAGCCAAGAAAGCACCTGGTGGATTTGGTATGACTTTCAGTAATCCTCCAGCTGCATTAAATTTTAATATTCGACTGTTACAGTAGCCATCAGCAATAAATACTTCACCAGTTGAAGCTATAGCGGCATGTGTCGGTTTACAAAGATGACGTAAATCAGAACCTGGCTCGAAACGTTGCCCAAATGTAAGTACAGGCTCTGATTCTCCAGGACGAAACTAACAATACAATTAAAAACTTTCAAATAAAAGCTTAGAAAAAGTAGCTTTTAAAAACAGTTTTGCTGTTTTTATGAGAATGTCATAGAAGACAATTAAAAAATGTTCTCTCTGTCCTGAAATATGTTATATACCTTGTAATAATTGTTTCTTTTGTTTTCGTATGAATCTGTTCGTATGTAAGATGGATCAAACTTGAGATTGATTGGTGATACATAATATTATAGAGAATTGTTGTGGACTGGTAATCCTTGTCAACCTGAGAGGGAAGGTACAACTCGGAAATTACGCGTGGAAATTTCGAAATCCTTAATAATCTTAGGCTAACGGCTCAGCCTACCATGGCATAACCCTAGCCGCCACATAAACATACGCTCAAGTATTCTGTGGTATTTATTTGAGATAAGCTAGATTACCCCCGCTTCGCTAATCAGGAAAAAGTAGTTATCATTAAAAGAGAAAACTTGATTCTTCTGGAACTTTCCAGAAAATTCTAAAACATTCCCGAACCCTGNACTTCACCAGTTGAAGCTATAGCAGCATGTGTCGGTTTACAAAGATGACGTAAGTCAGAACCTGGCTCGAAACGCTGCCCAAATGTAAGTACAGGCTCTGATTCTCCAGGACGAAACTAACAATACAATTAAAAACTTTCAAAGAAAAGCTTAGAAAAAGTAGCTTTTAAAAACAGTTTTGTTGTCTTTATGAGAATGTCATAGAAGACAATTAAAAAATGTTCTCTCTGTCCCGAAATATGTTATATACCTTGTAATAATTGTTTCTTTTGTTTTCGTATGAATCTGTTCGTATGTAAGATGGATCAAACTTGAGATTGATTGGTGATACATAATATTATAGAGAATTGTTGTGGACTGGTAATCCTTGTCAACCTGAGAGGGAAGGTACAACTCGGAAATTACGCGTGGAAATTTCGAAATCCTTAATAATCTTAGGCTAACGGCTCAGCCTACCATGGCATAACCCTAGCCGCCACATAAACATACGCTCAAGTATTCTGTGGTATTTATTTGAGATAAGCTAGATTACCCCCGCTTCGCTAATCAGGAAAAAGTAGTTATCATTAAAAGAGAAAACTTGATTCTTCTGGAACTTTCCAGAAAATTCTAAAACATTCCCGAACCCTGCAGATGTAGATCATTCAAGAAAAATTTGTAATATTCTGTAACGTCATAATCAAACATCGAAACTTCAGTTAACACCTTTACTGACTCTTTTGGGGTGATAGTTCTTTAAACCCCAAAACCTTCATTGTGGAAAGGGGAAGGAATATTACATACGATATAATTCTCATGGGGCTGTAGAGTTCACCACTTGCAGAGTTTTAGCGACACGTACGGACACACTAAATTTACTTTTATTATTCAAATTGATTTTGAAAACCTCTATTTATCTATTTTACAAAAACGTGGTTCTTATTTTCAAAAACAGATAATTCGTTTTATTTTGCCGAAACTCAGTGTAATATTTTTCCTATTCAATCCTGTTAGATTCTAGAAAGATTAACCAGAAATCTCAATGATATGTGGACCACATTTTGGAACAGACAGAGAACATTTTCAATTTTCGTTTTCCACAACATAATAATTTGCATAATTCTCAAAATGAATAACGTAATAATTACGATAACTTTTTCTTACTTCGTAGTAATAAAGTGCGAATCACAGTTAATTGAACAATTGCAAAAACTTATCCACTTACTTTAAATACCTGATGTAATGCAACGTCGGTTACCCAAGTATTGTCATGTCTATCAAAGCTGATACCATGGGGCATGTAAAACATGTTTGCACCCCATTGCGCTATGACCTTTCCAGTAGTAGGGTGTAATGTTAAAATGGTGTTTTCTTTTATTGGACCCAAATTAATTTGTTGATAGTGGTTCGAATCGTTGAAAGTGCTAAAATCATAGTTTTGACTAATTCTTAAAAGGAACATCCTAACTGAGGTCCAGATATAGCAGGTAAAAGGGTAATTAAAAAGGTCGTTTTCCTTGCAACCTCACTGCGGACTAATAATTCGTCTTAATATTTTTGAATAAGTGCAACGTAAGTTTCATTTGCAAGAACTTAAACTTCTTTACTCAAAAATTTAGCGAAAATTCATACATTCTTATGTCGAACGTTTTAATCATGTACACANTACGTCCTCTTGGGAAAATCGATAAAAATTTACCGAGAGGTAGACCTTGACCTCCTAACCAACTTTTTATATTAAGTTAAGTTAGCATAGATTTTTAAATTTAATACTGTTCCTATTTTCGTATTTCAACCTGTAATCTGTCGAATAACGAATTTCTTTTTACGACCGCAAAATCTGCGTGTACTTTTCATAGCATTACGTCTATTCTGAGATTTTATCCGCAATTAAGTTGTTCATTAGAGCTTGTTCGGTAATCGAAAACACTTTTTTCGCAGTTCGTCCGCTTGTTAAAAACGATTCGCAGTTAAGTACAACCTTTCTTGAATTACCTACTTTATCGAAGGATAAATCATAAAATCCAAACAAATCTTATTGATATTAGAAAGAGGAGACTGTGGTAAATATTATAGGGTTGTTCGGAAAGTCATTTCGTTTTTTTTTTGTGGAAATGAAAGACAATTTTCGTATAATAAACAAATACTTTATTAAATTATATATTGACCGTTCTGGTCCAACACCTTTTGCCATCTTTCTGGTAGTAGCATAATTCCACGCTCATAAAATTTTTGGTCTTTGCTGGCAAAAAACTGATCGAGGAGGTTTTTGACNTGCGTTCGAATCCGAAATCACTCCATCACTGATTTTCACCTTCAATTTTTCACTATACTGTCGCCATCTGGACCATTCTTCGATAAACGAAGTTCCTGCTGCGCATCAGGAACAAAATTATTCTCCAAGAGCTTGCAGGAAATTTTCGGTAAAGCAAAGAAGTGTACGATGTGATGCATAACATTTTAAACTAAAACTACATCCTTTAACAATTTCTTTTATATCTAAAACCTAAGTTAACATTGTTAATAACTAATAAAAGAAAGGAATAATCCTTACGTTAGATTTTTCTTTAAATACGATAAATCGACACCCAAAAAAAAAAAAATTAAAGTTGGAAAGGAAATGACCCAAAGCTTTGGGAAAAGCTTAAAATAAATAGCTACTTAATAAAACGAAATTATAATAACAATAATATCAGTTTATCAGCATAAATTTAGCAAAATGTTTTTTTAAATACGATATAAACTTTTGTAGGTATTTGATTTATTTCATTTGATTTAATTCTACCTAAAACTGCACTTAATTAATTAGTTTCTTTTTGTGCATGTAAACTTGGAATCTATCCCAAATACTGAACTTAATTAAATATATATATATATTCTGTAACGTATTAAGTTCCGAACAACCCTATAGTTAAAAATTAAAAGGAATACTCACCCCTAATTACCACAAATAATTTTATTTGAGCGGACACGTGTTTCGCCCACTTCATATGTGCGCATTATCATCTCATTTCTCTGATCTCGCGTTGATAATGCCCACGTATGAAGTGGGCGAAACACGTGTCCGCTCAAATAAAATTATTTGTGGTAATTAGGGGTGAGTATTCCTTTTAATTTTTAATTTAAATCATATTGATAATTTGAAATATAGTTGGTTTAATAAAAAAATGTATTGACGGTTAATAATTTAGGTACCTACTGCTTTTCTAATATCTATTTTCATGAAACTTACAATTCTCCCCATATCCTGTCAGCGCGGTGGAAAATGACGGGTTGATTTTTAGAATTAACAGCAACCCCAGACACCTGCCCTAGTTTTAACTGGGAGTCAGGCCAATTTTTAACAGCCTTCGGGGTGTCTTTCTTATAAGACTTTTCCATTTCATAACGTTTTTTTAAATTTCCCTGAAAAATTAAATTTCCTTACATTGGCACGCATTCTACCGACTTTTATGGAATTTTAAAATACATAATGGTCCTGTTATAATTCATTTTATTCCAAATAATTCCAAATAATAAATAATATCATTAATGATATACCTATAAAATTGTCATTTAATCAGATTGTATATATTTCTATTCTACATTTTGACACATATCAGGCAATATTTATTGTTAAGTTAGTTTTAAGTACTTTTAATTGTTTACTTAAAGTAATGTCGCAAAAATTTGGTACTCACAGATAAGTAGATTATCCCTAAAGGATGCGAAATTTGAATAAAATAAAAATAAAAAAACTTGTGTACACAGTTTTTAAAAACTGGAACAAAAAGATTCTATTGTGGTCAATTTTTAATCCCTAATTTCCTTTTTGTATCTGTATCTAATAACTTAACTTTTAGGGTAACCTTTTTAAAGGTGCCCAAAAATTTCAAATCCTAAAAATTAATTTTTACCTATATTCTTTTAGTTTTCATTTGATCAAGTAAATTTAATAAAAAAAAATCGTTTTTTAAAAAGTTTTATTCGCGTGCCGAAGATTGCGTATCCTATCAAATATATTATTTTTTGTACTAATCTGTGTTGGTACAACTTTTTACAATGTCTTTTCAAACACACTTTATAAACTACAAAAAAAAATCTTTGAAAATTTCAATTTCGTAATTTTCAACACCATAGGATGCTTCTTTAGTCTAAATTACTAGAAGTTCTATATGGTTTTTGAGAAGGGATCAAATAAATTTCATTTTTGTTGGAATCTTCATGTACCTATGATGATTTCAATACCTACTCAACAGTAAAAAAAATAGATTTTTTAAGAAAATTGCGTTCATTTTTATTTAAAAACAAGTATTTATCAAAAACTTAAGAACCACATGGAAACATATATTTTAAGTGTTTTAGTATGAATAATTATATATTTAAATACATATTGTAATGAATATCTAAATAGTAATTTAAAATATTTTTTTTGACTATATAAGTAACGGATAGTCAAATATTTCAATATTCAAATAATTATAATTCAATTCCTAGCCGTTTTATGATTAACAGGTAATACTTCTGACATACGGACAGATAAAACTGAAGTCTGATCGTAAGTATTAATAATTGATGGTTCCTCCGACGCATAAAACATACGTGGATGATAGGTACTAATTTTTAAACGACTTCTAAATATGCATATTTTCAGTTATAAATTGGAAAGAACCCAATGTTACTAACAAATTAGAGAACAGTAGGAATTTGAACTAATAATCCACCACATGTTAAGTTTCCATTATATGCGACATTTCATCATGGATTGTGGATTTATTATTAAGCATTAAGTATTGAAAATCAATCACTCCACAATTGTATTGTATGTGCGTGTTGTCAATCAATCACAATAAATGCTACGTTTATTGGCTTAATCTTTTAATAATTATAAATATTTTGTACTAGGTAATTTTACACTTAAATGTGTTAATTTCTCAATTTGTTTGTACGTGACGTACTATAAACGTACGTAAAAATGAGTATCAGTTGATGTTAAATACTTATTAATGATTGATGATGTTCAATCAACACCAAAACGTCGCACATAAAGCAAATGTAACATCTGATCAAATTGCTGCTATCTTTTAAATATACAATGCAATAGACTTCGTCTGTTAGTTTTACGATTAATATATAAATAATAAAGGAAAAGTTCGCTAGGGATTTTATATTTCCAAAATTTTTGAAATTCTTGAGCGTAGTTTTATGCAAAATAAAAAAAAATTGAGTAAAATGAGCCATCCTAATTTTACGTATAAGGTTTCAGTTTTCATTAGATGGATTAAATTTCCACAATTATCGTATATGACTTTTCTATCTAAGTATATCAAAAAATCAATACTTGATAAGCTCTTCTAATCAATATGTCATTCTGTAGAATGTGTTGCCTGCTTAACAATATAAATGGAAGAAACTTTTTTACATTCACCTTTACCGTTTATTCAATTAATTTATACCTGCTGGTGAAGTGCATCGTTCAATTCCAACAGCTGTCTTACTTCATCGTAAAATGGCGAGTTGTATCCTCTATTAACAGAAGAAAGAGGCACTGCTGAAGAACATAATTCTAACAAAAACGCAAAAAAAGTTATGACGATAAACGACGCAGCCATCTAGTTACCGGAAATTCTTTTAAATTACTATGTGCGTTCGAATCCGAAATCACTCCATCACTGATTTTCACCTTCAATTTTTCACTATACTGTCGCCATCTGGACCATTCTTCGATAAACGAAGTTCCTGCTGCGCATCAGGAACAAAATTATTCTCCAAGAGCTTGCAGGAAATTTTCGGTAAAGCAAAGAAGTGTACGATGTGATGCATAACATTTTAAACTAAAACTACATTCTTTAACAATTTCTTTTATATCTAAAACCTAAGTTAACATTGTTAATAATAAAAGAAAGGAATAATCCTTACGTTGGACTTTTCTTTAAATACGATAAATCGACACCCAAAAAAAAATTAATGTTGAATAGGAAATGACCCAAAGCTTTGGGAAAAGCTTAAAATAACTAGCTACTTAATAAAACGAAATTATATTAACAACG